GAGAGAGAGAGAGAGAGAGAGAGAGAGAGAGAGAGAGAGAGAGAGAGAGAGAGAGAGAGAGAGAGAGAGAGAGAGAGAGAGAGAGAACGCGGGTGCGCTGGACCACACATGTCATTCAAGTGCACTTTTGCCTTACTGTTTCACACTGTTTTTATTTATTTTTTTCGTTTTTTTTTTCTAATGGTTTGTTAATATGGTGTGCTCTCTACGGAATGATGCAATGTTTGGTTAAAAAGGGCTTCTGGTTTTCTTATAAATAGCATTTAAAAAATGCTGAAATTCTGCGTCTCCGATAGCGTTACTTTGAGCAGGGCCCGCACTACTGAGTCCATTAGCGTTTCTTTAAAGCAGCTTCAAGCCTTCAACACAAAACACTCAAGACTCGGTTATGGCAGAGAACAGCATGCAGTCTGCTGCGCACACAGACCATCATCATTCTTGTGCAACTCCGCATGAACCTGCTCCATCTCGAGACCACATTCGCACTAAGGCAGTGCGCCAGTGTGAAAGAGTGCTGTTCTGGCCTGACCGTAAACCACCAGTGCATCCAAGCCTCTTTTCGCCAGATTCCCCGTGTGAGCCAAGCTTCTACTCTGAATTGCCAGTGCAGTACTTTTTTCTTGTGGCTGGCCCTGCCAGCCATTTTGGTCCAGTCGCCCGAGCGTCCGAACTTTCCGGAATGAGTCGCCTTACCGATTCTCAAGTTCGCCTGGGCAACGTACTGGTGGTTTAAAGCACAAGTACACGGCTACCTGGGCCACGGGCCCGACACCTTGAATTCCAGAGGTGTGAAACGGAAAAAGCGGCCGCCGATCCAACATAATATCAACGGCAGGCCCAGCGTTTGACGGTTCGGCCTCGTTTTCTTGTGGCGACAAGTTTTGGACTGCAAGGCTGGGGCTGTGCACTACGAGCGGTTTAAGGCACCGGCTATCAACACTCTCCTTACCATGCTATTCTTGGCTATAGATAAGTCGGGCAAAAGCCGGGAATCGTGTGTACTGTGACATAGCTAAGTTGGGCTATAGGAGGGCTATAGATAAGTTGACTGTCATAGTGTACTGGATCCAGTATGGTTAATACCTTGACAGGACATAATAGTACGTACTACGCAGTGTGGTCTAGCGCTGCTATAGCTTGCCAGGGAACCACATGAACTATTGTGTTATCGCTGCTATAGCTGAGCAGGGAATAGTAGACTCCGCAAATTCTAAGCCCTAAACTAGCCCTGCTATAACTCTGCAGGGAATAGCATGCAGTGTGGTATAGCATGCCAGTGAAAAACATACAGTGCATGGGAAGTATAGGTTATTAGAGAATCGTGTGCAGTGCAATAGAGTTTAGAAAGAAATAGAGTGCAGTACAGCATGCTCCAGCAAGGAATAGCCTGCAGTGCATATAGTACAGCAGAGAATTGCGAGGATAAGGTTCCTCGGCAGGCCTAAGGGGCCCCTGATGCAAGTGCGCCCGCCCTAAGTGAAGGCAGGCCTAACAAATCACGAGAGGCCCAATGCTGTCACTTTCGTATTTGGGGTTCAGGCAGTTGTGTCGCGTCAGTTGGTTGAGAGAACCCAGGACCCGAGCTGCAAATATTTTCCACGGCCTTTTCTGGGCCTTTTTAAATATAGGCCCTGGACAAGAATCGCAGCATCATACACAAACAGTTGGGAGGCCCAACTGAACGAGGCCCAGCAGCTGCAACAGAGGCCCAGCCACTTGGGGCCTACCAGAAGCTTCTGTGTGCAGGCCCAGCCCAGCCAGGCCGCAGGGAAGGCAGACTCCTTCCATATAGGAAAGAGCTCGCCGCCTGGAGAGGCCTTCGGGCACTTGCAAGCTAGCGGCAACGCTGCTGAAGCAGAGACTCGCGGGCTGCTGCTTGCATTAAGGCAAGGTGCTGCGCACGTGTGGTCGTGTAGGAGGAAGGGCGCTGCTGAGGGCAGCGCCATAGCCCAGCCTCCATAGCTGGCCGGGGCTTGGATGTACAGCAGGGCGCAGGGGTGGTCTTCGGGTGTACAGCGGGAAGACGTGGTTGAAAGACAAGGAAGGAGGCATGATGATGATGATGTGAGGGCACATACCTGGAATTGGCGATGGTCTGCATAGGACGACATCTTCAAGTACTTATTCGGCTGCTGACGAGCCTGACGTCAACAGTTGCATCGTCAATTAGTAGGCAGACAGTAGCTGTGTAGGGAGTAGTTTGGGCGCCAAGCGCCAAGTAGGGGGAAGGGCATGGTTGGTGATGGCGAGAGCAACCTCTCATTGACATTCGGCTTTCAGTGTTATGATTCTCCATTGGTGTTATATTGGTGCAATGCTGCTTTCTGGACACTTGGATACTATCTGGCTTTCAATGTGATTCTGCAATCTGGATTTTGTCATCTCGCTATTGCTCATTTTCCTTGCAGAATAGAATCCATGTGGTATATAGCCCTGCAATATCTTCGCGAGGAATAGCATGCTGTGTGGAATTTCCGCGCCCTTAGCACCGGTATCATCACAAATGCCAATACATCAATGCTCGGTTACTAAAGCACAGAAAAACATGGAGGAGAATATGCACAATGGCAGTTCAACGGTAAATACCTCGTTATCCTTACTCAGCGAGGATAAGCCCAAGGCAGAGAGAGGACCTGAATCATCTGCTTGTAATGCATGCCATCCATTCCTTTTTTTTTCTTTTGTTTTTTAGCGTACATTGCCTTACATTAAGATACAGCTTGGACAGCATGCAGGCAGGTCAACACACCTGTGAGAGAGAGAGAGAGAGAGAGAGAGAGAGAGAGAGAGAGAGAGAGAGAGAG